TGTGTTTCCCAGGCTAGACGAAACGGTCAGAGGCCAGCTTGTCAATGAATCCACTCCCACGGTGAGATAGGTTGTGTAGAGAAGAAAAGGCCTTGCGACAAAGCTTTGGCGGTGCAAGGGGACGGTAAGAGGAAGTGGAGACGTGGCGGATGGTGGCACCATCGCCAGTAATCAGAAGGAATTCGTAAAGCTGGAGTGCAGAGATGCCCGTTTCACGAGGGATCAAACATGATGTCAGTCAAGCCAATCCCGGAAGAAGGTTGAAAATGGGTGATGGTGAGCCTGGAAAATGAGTCAGCTACCTCACCCCCCTGATCTGTCGACATGGCCGGCACCTGTGGTGAACTGATATACATAGTTCAGGTGGTGAATCTTCTGAGGGTTCAGTTTATCGATCAGAGGATGCAAAACGAATGTGTGTGTGAATTTTAGTCGGTGAAGATTGTGGAGTCTAGGGCTTCGATGAGCTGCCGAACGCGCTCTATCGCAAGAAAAACAGCACGTCAGAATGTGTTGCAGCGAGTTTCGGTCTTGGATAGTTTCCCTCAGAAGAAAGATAGAGTGAGGTTAAGATCTGCAGGGTTATGTTGGAAGACAGCGCTAAAGCCACATTGTAAGCATCTTCCACGAGGGCGGTTGATGCGTCAGCATGAAAGCAAGACAGGAGGGTGGCGTCGGCCAGGGAAACCTTCACAGGCAGCGAGGACATCTGCGGAAACCACGAACGAACCATTGGGATCCCATAGGGGACTTCTGAGCGTTAGAGCGCTGTACGTACTATTCGAGAGGAACCGGCGGTGGACGTTCCCCATACCCATAAGGCGTTACAGCTGACGCGGAAAGTCACGAACGGCCTTATAGGCAGTCGACAGGAATTACTTCCCAAGACAAAGTTAGCCGAATGCAGATCTATGCCACACAGTCTAAAATAAGGGTAAGGTGCTGGTGATGTTTCTGGGCATCCCGGCTTGTGATTAAAAATCCTCCATATAAACATAAATAAGAGAGAGACCGCGCAGGTCACGGTTAACGAAGAGTTAAAAAGTCTGCGGTGAATTGCGGAGACCAAAAGGCATGTAAAAGAACTCAAACAAGCCAAACTCACTCGTCACACCCCTTGTTAGCAAGACCTCAGGGACAAGTGGAACTTGGTTAAGGACCCCGGACATGTCACTCATTCTTCGGGAAAAGGATCTTGCCAATGAGAACTCCGGTAAAATCCTGAAGATAAAGTATAAGCTACGGATCAAGAAGGATGACGTTGAAATCGTGACAAGAATTCCAGTCATCCGTTTGTGGCTTAATAACCATTCTGAAAAACTGTCCTCCCCGAAATCGGCCTTGTAGGACGTTTCACCTCAGCAGTCGTGAGATAATGCCTCGACAAGGTGATTTGCCAATTCAAAAATCAGGGGGAAAGAAGAGGCTGATCAAACACTACAGGCGATTCGGCAGGCAGTGGCGGCAGCTGTTCTCACGATCCGATTGTCAGCCGTTGAGTTTCTTAGACCCGATGCGTTGTGCATGGATGCACTTGGGCTTTGTCCGCACACAACCAATGGAGAAAAGACAGAGCACTGATAGGCGTCAAACCGTCGCTATACCTGGCCGCGCGGCGCCAGCAGTCGATAGACAGGGGTTGTTAGGCCATCTGAAAGATGGCGTGAGGGGTTAGACGCGCTGGCAACCATTGAAACAGATCGTCACTCGTTTGCATACATAAAGTTAATCCGGAAACTCGCTCTTGTCGGCGGATAGTTCTACTGACCTTTACTTGTTTTTTCCAGTAATTCCAAAGGGCCTGTTTGTGTCTCCTAGAGTTTCATGTAAACGATCGGAGAGCGCCCCCCCCCCCAACCATTACATATATTCCCGATCGTGATCAACAGAACCACGTTCCCGTGCCTCAATGGTTAAAGGCGTTGGATATCTAACCGACAGGTCGCTGGATCGAGTCCCAGGTGTTCCACGATTCGGGGTTGGGTATGACTGGCTTACGACGTCTGATAAGCCAGAAGTAGCCACTTCAGATACCTTTGTGGGTAATGCTGACCTGCCAGTATCATGCGCCGCTGTGCGGCTGCTGGTTGGGCTCGAGAGGGAACCCTAAAGCACAATGGGACAAATGCGTTCCGTAGAAACGATCGGTTAGCGCCCCTCTACCAAAGGGCACATTCTTTACGCTCAGTTAATCCAGTCACTTGGAAGCATTAAATGCCGCCGAGCTGTGGACTTATATAAACTAGATTTTCTGCTGAAAATGTCGTCTCTGCGTGAACTTTAGACGTTTACCTTGACAGTAAGGCTACATTCATAAAAACTGCCACTCGATTCGACAGAACTCCTTTTGTCAAACTTCCCCTCAAACCACACAAACCACCACAGGTCTGGTGACAGCTTGACTGTCGATTTCGACAACGCCTACCATGAGGGTGACTTTCGTGAATTAGTATATAGTCATAGTAGGCCTTCGAGGCATCTACCACACTCTCTCCTTCTTTTCCACCTAGACCCGGTGTCAAGAAGATCAGATGTGGGACAGAGCGCAGGTTGCAGGCGTAACCAGAGCCGCCGCCGGGCATGCTGCCACATCCGGATCTGATCTCACTGAGTGAGCGTTTCATAGAAGCCACATTAAGACAGAGGGACATTGCAGTCTGACTCTCAGTCCGCAATCCACACGAATACACATTTGAGAGAGAGAGAGAGAGGAATGCTTTATTTTGAAAATAACATTCAAAACTTTCAGCCAACTGCGAGGTCCGAGTTATTCCTTTAAGTACGCAACCTTTCAAGCCACGGCTTTTAACGCACTGAGATAGCTTCAGGCAGGTCAGATTGTTTATAGTGAGGAGGAAAATGCGCTGAGGCGTCGACCTCACTCTCTATTCTCATTCCCAGACTACAGCCACTATCCGCGCCGGTCAGGTGTCGGGTACGGGGAATCGACGCAGTCTTGTGGCGCCACGCGCACGGCTTACACGGAAGGCTTTCATATATCCCCTTCTGTGTTCTTGTTGCTTCTTTATATAGAAAGCCTGACATGACAGGCCCGTCTGCACGGGCCGCGTGGACGACTTGCCCCCCTCCCCCCCCCCCTGCCCAAGCGCATACACCAAGATTTTACAAAGGGAGGCTAGAACACTGATTTCACATGCTGCGACAGGGGCACACGGAGAGAGGAGCCGAAAGACACACTTGTCACTTACATGAGAAGTGCCAGGGATGTGGGATTTGGGAGGGATGTATTCGTGGCACA